ACCGATTTAGGAGACATTTATTTGAAATAATAAGGCTATAAAATAAATTACAACACAAATAATTTAAAAAGATAAATAACAAATTTTATCCCTAGGCCAATGACAAAAGGGAAAAAAGAGCTTCACTAGTGGATATGAAAAAGATAGAAACGATTATTGATGACAAGAGTTATAATAATGAAAATATTACTCCGTGCATTGCTGCGGATATTTTATTGTGCTATATAGAAAGAAGTTATCAAGTAGTACATGACAAGCATCAAAATTCTCTGGTGGCTCAGGACCAAATCTTAATCACTTTATGCATCGGAAATCTTAAAAATCTCAATAGTCCAAACTTGGTATGAAATACGATGCTAGAAAATATTGCTTGCGATGACTTAAGGTCAATTGGATATTATTTTGTGATCTGGCAAGCAAAACTACAATTTAACCGTTATACAGATTGTACGGTATGGTTCAAGAATCTTGGCTCTAAACAGTAAATGTGTACCTTATCGAAAGGACGATTTACGTGATGCAAAGCTAATATATATGCGGCCCACAGCCGCTGCCCGTTGCCAGCACGGCAGCGCCCCACAGCTGCAGGGGGCTCGCTAGATGTTTCAGCAGCATGCCGTGGCGAGCTTCGGCCACAGCTACCGCTCCAGGCCACGGTGACCGTGGCGCGGCACGGATTCACCGTCGCCCGTCCCCTGGTGCGGCCACTGCCGACACCGACGCGCAGCACGTCGAACTCGACCCGGCATCCACCGTCAAAGGCGCGGGCAGGACTGCCGCGTCCGTCACTCCCGGTTGCGGCCGCTGCGTCGCTGCCGTTGCCGCGCGTTGAGTGGTCAGTGGCTGCCGCCTGGGGAGTGCCTCCTGGCCCTGGTGGCACCAATTCGGTCCGAAGCCTGGCGAGCATGCCGCAACAGATTGGGCGCGCAACAGCTGCCGCAGGCTAGGCGTGGACACAGCCACCGCCAAAAGCCGGCCGCGTATACAGCCACCGTCAATGGAGGGTGTCGACACATCAGCCGCCACCATGAGCCGCGTGCCTCCGTTCCATGGTGCGTGGATGCAGTTGGGCTGGTCACGGGTACAGAAAATATTTTTAGAGACGATCAGAAGTAATCTTCAGAGACGGTTTTAAAACTGCTACTATGTCAGCGATGGTAAAAATAAGTGCTTTTCAGAGACAATTTTAAAACCTCCTCTAATAATCGATTTTAAGAGACGGTTGACTTAACCGCGCTTAAAAATCGATTTTCAGAGGTGGTTGATTTAAGTCAACCATCCCAAAAAATAATTTTCAAAATTTAAAAAAAAATATTTACAATCTAATAAAAATAAGAAAAAAAATATTTCTAATGTACCTAGAAGGACTGAGGACCGGCCACAGCTCACAAGATTCATTTTTCACTTGTTTTGAATAAGTGCTGACACCCACCACAAACCTCTCCCTCGCGCGATCCCTCCCCTACCACACAGTCACTTATATCTAGTTATACGATGCTATCTATTTGTACTAATATGTACGAATCTTGTAATCAATATTTTAACTCATAAACAATCTTAAATGAGAAAACTTTCAACTACAAAGTTTTAGATCTCATCGAGCACTACAACTTTAATATAGAATATTTCTCCATCCAAGGTCATTTGAAAATTTCAAAAATTTGAAATTCGAATTCTGAGACTTAATTTATATATTTGAAATACTAAATGATTTCAAACAAAAATTTTATCAACTACAGAGTTTTAGATCTCGTCGAGCTCTACAATTTTGATATAAATTTTGTCATCATCCGACTACATTTAAAAAAGATATGAATTTATTTGTGTTGCAGCTATTTTTAAGAACGATTGACTTAGTCAACCGCCCTTGAAAATCAATTTTCAGAGGTGATTTACTTAATAAAACTGTCTCTAAAAATCACTCATTTTCAGAGACGGATGACATAAGCAACCGTTCTTGAAAAATAGCATTTCAGAGGCGGTTCTCTTAACAGAACCACCCTTAAAAATTGATTTCTAGCAACGGTTGTACAGCTACGGTGCCTCCCGTGAAGGTTAGTGGCGGCGTGCTAAGACAACTGTTTCTATTAGAAAATAAAGGAGTCGCTAAAAATCATTTTTGTACTAGTGGGTGACGCTCAACGAGGATTACATATGGTTGAGAAGTTCCAAAGCAAGGATATTCAAGGTCTGCTGGGATCTGGGAACTGAATGACTGCTCAAATCCCTCCACGCTTTCTAGCAGTTTTTATGTTCAATTTATTGGAGAAGCCGAGAAGGTAGTGGACGGAGGATGTGGTCACGTAGCTGAAGATCGGTGAATCTGAACATGTTTGGGTCCTCGGTGGGGTGAGTGCATAGGATGTGCAAGAGTTTGATGACGTGGCAGTATGAGAAGCAAGATAAATCCTGTAGTGTGGATCTCCTAGTTAGATATAGAAAATAGAAGATAGAAGATGAAAACTATTATAAGAAAAAGAAAAAAACAGGAATAAAGAAAAAAGATAGTGTTTAGTTCACTCACTGGTAATGTAAACGGTATAGGAAAATAGATTGCCACGGGGAAGAGGGGAGGTGTTTTGGTTTGGCGTGGTAACGGTATTGTGAAGCACGGGAACGAACCACGGTGGTCGATAATGTGATAATATCCCTCGGGAAGGAAAGGAATCAACGGTGAATGGGTCTGTATTTGATTACACCGTATCTGATTCGGAACTGCTAGTGTCCGCACGTCCCAACAGGACGCTCACGACTGTAGTCCGTTTTCGCACGTCCACACGTGGGCCCGTGTCGCCCGGATGTCGCTCGACCACGCCTGCGTCACCCGTGCCCACGTGGGGTGCCGCGACGCGCCCCCCTCCCGCTTCCCATGCGTATCTTAGATGCAACACCCGGTCTACTTTTGAAACATCCAGATACAACACTTGCAACATAAAAAAAAGACAGATGAAACATTTGAAACATAAGCCTGAAACACATAAAAAATACTTGAAAGATATTGCAAACATACGCAACATCTAGATAAACACTTTCAACTTATGTGTGGAACATATGCAACATCCAGATAAGATGCTTGCAACATACGTCTGGAAAACAGATTGGGGACATGCGCTTGCAACATACTTGTACAACCATTGCAACATATGCAACATCCCAATCTAATTTTAAAAAATCCATATAAAACGCTTGCAACATATCTCTAAAATATTTGAAACATTTAAAATATATGCTTGAAACATGCATCGTATCCCGATGCGGCCTCCTCTGCCGTTTGCACAGGACGCCGCAACCGTAGCAGAATGCAAGGCCAGAGGGCTTCCGTGTCAGGGCTCGGCGCTTCTCCTTGCGCTAGCGGCACCTGTTGGCGTCATTGGGCATGAGCACACACGCAGCGGCTTCAGTGGCCAGCTGGCGAACACAGCACGGGCGCGGCAGTGGTCACGTCGTCAGGCGGGGCGGGCGACGGAGCACGCGGCAGGAGCAACGGCAGGAGCGGCGGAGCAGGAGCAGGAGCAACGTGGGTGTGACCATCAACAGCGAAGTAGAGCAGAGCTGGGGAGCGGGCGGGCGACGCAATGGAGGCGTCTGCGGTGGTGGGGAGCGCTGTGACAACCGATGCCAGATGGGGAATGTTGCTTTGTATTTTTTTTTATTATTAGTGAAGGAATGAAGGTAGACAGGAGGCATGTTGAGCCACTTGGATGAAGCGTCCGGTACAGGAGGCCTCACCAGAGTATTTCTGTGGCTTTCCATTCTCTTCCGTAATCCGTAATAATCTGATAATGTTACATAGTATTCACGAACCAAACGCCACGGGAAAAAGAAAGAAGCAAAAAAAAAAAAAGAATGAACCAGTTTCGTGGGCCCCTCTCCCTTGCGAACCACCGGAGTCATCATGCGCGTGCACCTTCAGAAAAAGAAGGAATCGGCCCAATAGCCCAGGAAGAATCGCTCTCCTGAATTGATGAAATTCACCACAAGTGTTTTCTTCTCCCGTTCACCGCACCTGGCCGGAGACCGAGACACGCCCTTGTTTGGGACCGCCGCCGCCCTATTCCCAGCTGCCCAGGCCTCGTCGGGCTCGAGCCCTTTGCCGGCGACGAGCACTCACCACAGCAGGTATGCCTGCCCCTTCTGTTCCCTTCCGTGCGAAACTGAGCACCCGAACGGCCGAACCCTAATTTAAGCTATTTGGCTATCTGTATTCGATCGGATCTGATCTAATCACAAGTGTATGCATGTATTATGCCTACTAACTTGGTTTTGTTTGGTAAAATTGTTGGGTGTACACCCATGACCTTGCCCCCCTGCTGCGTGCTAGAGTAGCCGATTGGATTTTGTTGGTAGTGGAGCTGCCAGTTCAAGTCTTTTTCATGTCTTTCTGCTACTTTAATTTGGCTAGATGTGGTTTAGGGTGCTTGATTATGGCTCAGGTTTAGGAATTTTTGTGAAAATCAGCGTGATTATCCAGACTTGGTCTTGTATCTACTGGTTGAGGGTTAATTCTGGTGGTGAGATATCTCCTATGATTCCCCGGTTAATTGAAGCATTCCTGTTTTGTGGGACGTTGATTCATTGGTCTTACTATCTTTTAATTCTAACTAGTACTATATGTTTATATGTCAAGGCAGCGTTGAAATTTCCTATGACTCAAAGTATTAAGTACGTGTTTCGATTTAGTGATCTCTCGATGATAATTTCTGTGCTTCTGTGTCAAACTTCCACTTACAGGAACTAGATAATTGATCTTCGCTAAATTGATAATTTCTTGCAAGCATCAAACCGGGTTATGCTCTTCTCCTTTCTGAGTGTGTAACTTTGTTGCTGCCAATTTTATTATGATTTAAGGTGGTTAATGGAATGTATGCTTGTTTTTCCAGATGTTGCATTATTTAGTCTGATGTGTAATTAAAGGATTTCCCCCTTTTGTTCTGGCTGATTCTTAGCTCATTTTCTAACAGTACCGTAATGTTTGTTATGTTGGTATGTAGGGAGTAACCATGTCTTCTTCAATGGAATCATCATACCTTCCTGCTACAACTGAGTCATTAGCCAAGGCTCAAGAGGCTAAGGATGCCACAGAGTCCATTGCAATCCTTTACCGTGTCATTCAGGACCCATCTTCTTCTGCTGATGCACTGAGAACAAAAGAAGTTGCAATTACAAATCTTACAAACTACCTCACTAAAGAGAACAGAGCTGAGGAGCTGCGTAATCTTTTGACCCAGCTCAGGCCATTTTTTGCAGTTATTCCCAAGGCTAAGACTGCAAAAATTGTCCGCGGAATAATTGATGCTGTCGCCAAGATTCCTGGAACATCTGATCTTCAGATTTCACTCTGCAAGGAAATGGTGGAATGGACCCATGCAGAGAAGCGTACTTTCCTCCGGCAGCGTGTGGAGGCGAGGTTGGCGGCTCTCCTGTTAGAGAATCAGGAGTATACTGAAGCACTTACCCTCCTTACTAGTCTTATCAAGGAAGTCAGGAGGCTTGATGACAAGTTACTTCTTGTGGACATTGACCTTCTGGAAAGCAAACTCCACTTCTCCCTGAGAAATCTGCCAAAGGCCAAAGCCTCCCTAACTGCTGCTAGAACAGCAGCAAATGCCATTTATGTTCCACCTGCCCAGCAAGGCACTATTGATCTCCAGAGTGGAATCCTCCATGCTGAAGAAAAGGATTACAAGACTGCTTACAGCTACTTCTTTGAAGCATTTGAAGCTTTCAGTGCACTGGAGGACCCAAAGGCCATCTTCAGCCTGAAGTACATGCTGTTGTGCAAGATAATGGTTAACCAAGCTGATGATGTTGCAGGGATAATCTCATCTAAGGCTGGCCTAAAATATCTGGGTCCTGATGTTGATGCTATGAAGGCTGTTGCTGATGCATACTCTAAAAGATCTCTCAAGTATTTTGAAACTGCCCTTCGCGATTACAAGTCCCAGCTGGAGGAGGACCCTATTGTCCACAGGCATCTTTCTTCTCTGTATGATACGCTCTTGGAGCAGAACCTCTGCAGGTTGATTGAGCCCTATTCAAGGGTGGAGATTGGGCATATAGCGGAGATGATTGAATTGCCGGTTGACCATGTTGAGAAGAAGCTGCCGCAGATGATCCTCGACAAGAAATTTGCTGGGACTCTAGATCAAGGTGCTGGCTGCCTCATTATCTTTGAGGATCCCGAGACGGAGGAAATCTTCCCTGCCACTCTCGAAACCATTTCGAATGTCGGGAAGGTTGTGGACAGCCTTTACATGAGGTCGGCCAAGATCATGGCTTGAAAGCAGCTAGTCTTACCTGTTTGCTCTGATTTCATTTTCAGTTCTGTCGATGTCCTCAGACATTTAGTCCTTCATCAATATTTGACAGTTTATTGTGCATGTTGCCTCTCAATTTAGTTTAACAAAACATACTCTTGCTTGCTATATACTGCTAGGAACAAGACAGTTTGCTGTTTCTGCGTGGTGGAAGTACTGTGAACACTTGCTGGTCCCAGGCATAAATTATACTTATTGTGCTACTACGATATTATTGGCCCAATCTCGGGCTGCCTTGCTCTTTACCGCTACAGGTTCATATGACCAATGACCGACTATTTTTATGGTTGAGTCGGATGGATGTTATTGTGTGTGTTAATTAATCTACTACAGTACTGAGTAGAGGATGTTAGTGTTCCTGCTCATGCTGACAGTTACTGATTAGCGATTACTGTTTGAACTGTCAGGCCACGCCCATCAGTGGCGTAGTGCCACACCAAAAGCAGAAGTACCGACTAACGCAACGGTTGTTTCATTGTGCTGAAGAAAACCATCACGCTGAAAGGATTAGCAGGGAATGCCACATATGCGTAACTGATCAAGTGGAGGACGTGATGAATGATCAACTTTGTGTTGCTGTGAACTGTCGATAGCAGCAGACGATGTCCTAGAACAATTAACACTGAATTATTTCATGAAATGTTTAAGAATCTTCTAAATAAATTTTACCACAATTTCGCGGGTACTCTTACCCCGTCTGCAGTAGTATATCTTTCTGGACAGCGTGACAACAATTAATTTCACGGCCAGCTAAAGCTTGACAGCAAATCAAAGAAACAACCCAACAACAAACGCATTACCAAATGAAACGGCGCCCCGACAGGGAGGGAGATGCTCAGGTCATGTCATGGGTTTCTCGAGCAGCGCCGACACGTACCACTCGTTCCTCTCGGCGCCGAGGTCGAGCTTCCGGCCGGCCTTCCACCGGATCCGGCGGAAGCTGACGCGGTCGAAGATGGGCACGTAGGTGGCGTTGAGCTGCGGGCCGAGGCAGAAGAAGTGGTCGAGCCAGAAGACGCCGCCAGGCCTGAGCACCCGGTAGATGTCGAAGAGCGTGGACTCGAGCACGGCGTCGGGCACCCAGTTGCTGAGCACGTTCATGGAGTGCACGATGTCCAGCACGCCGTCCGCGAAGGGGAGCCGCTGCATGAGCGTCAGCTGCAGCGGCACGAGGCCCCGGGAGGCCACGAAGCGGTTGAAGGGCGCGTCCAGGTCCAGCGTCGTGGTCACCACCGTCACGTTCCGCTCCCGCATGCGCGCCGCGAACGTGCCCGTGCCGCCGCCGATGTCCAGCCCGATCCGCACCGTGCCGGGCGGCCGGGACCGCAGCACGCTGTCGACGCTGAACCCCGGCCCGCCGTTGTCGGTCTGCCACCGCCGCCGCTCCTTCCCTTCCAGGTCGAAGCAGTCCTTGCAGAAGTAGGACCCGCCCCTGGTGCGCGCGCGCTGCACGAGGCAGGTGTAGTTCTTGCACGTGTACGGCGCCCAGCGCACGGTGGTGTCCGGCGGGACGGACCACAGGCTCCGCGGGAGCGGCGCGGGCTCCACGTACCTCGCTGGCTCCCTCGGCCTGCAGCGGCGGCGGGGCAGCGGCTCGCACCCCTTGAGCGCCAGCTGCAGCGCGAGCGCGTCGTCGTCGGGGCACTCGCCGCTGACGTTGTACGTCATGTACTGCGCCAGCTCCTCCTGGAAGTTGCGGCAGGCGAACCCCAGCCCCGGGAACAGCTCGTCGGTGCCGAAGTTGGCGTGGAAGCCGAGCGGCAGCCGGTGGGGCTCGATGGCGAGCTTGAGCTCGCCCTGGGGCTCCTCGGGCCAGCCGCCGAAGTCCCTCGCCTCCGGCGTGTCCCCGTGCACGGCGCCGAGGCCCGCGAGCACGGACTCGAGGAGGTACGACGACGCGTTGCACTGCGCCCGCAGCGCCGCGAGCTCCGCGCGGGCCCCAGCGAGCGCGGCGCGCGTGGCGTTGAGGTCCCGCAGCAGCGCGGCCGAGTCCCACAGGTGGATCCGCGGCGCGGACGCCGGGATGTGCACGGACAGCGACGCGCCGGAGAAGAGGTAGACGGAGACGAGGTTGGTGGCGATGACGACCAGCAGGATTTTGAGCTTGGCGCGCCGAGGCGCCGGCCGCGCCGCCGGCCGGTGCCCGTGGCCATTGGCGGTACCACCCATCCCCTCGTCGCTACTGTGCTGGTGCGATGAGTGGCCCCGGTGCTTGGCCGCGTACATGGCGGCCGCGCGCGCGCGCCGGCTAGCGGCGACAGCTAGCTAGCAGTGATGATCGATCAGTTCACTATACGCCGATCAACAATTCGACATGCGGGATGGTTTTTCCAGATGTGAAGTGCAGCTGTGCTACGCGTGTGTTTGACTTTGGATATGTGTTTGCATGTGTTCGTGGATTGCAGATTACACATCGTCTTGCTTTGCTTTGCGAGGAAAAAAGCGGACAATTTTGCTTCGCAAGTCAAAGCTGTGCTACGCTCTTGTCCATGAGTAGCTATCGCTCGGGGAGCGAGCTGCGTGGCCGACTTGTGGGCCCTCCAGCGCAGCGATTACGCGTCCTCCGGCACTGCTCTACGGCATAGAAAAGGGAAATTTGCCATTGTTGGGGGTTAAAGAGTGAAGGCACGAATGGATGGGGCATGGGGATGAGTGGGTGACTGACTGATCTTGAAGAAGCAAGAGTACATAACATTGGCGGTTCATTTCTCCGAAGTCCGAAGTTGCTCGAGTCGGGCAATACAAGAACCGTCTGTATCTTACCAAGAAATTGTAGCAGTGATGCACTATATAGGTCAGTGAGTGTCATCCTCCATTGAGCCTGTTCGCTGGTTGGTTTCTGGGCTGATAAGCCCGGTTGATGCTGGTTTGTTATGAGAGGAAAACAGTGTTGGCTGACTGATAAGCCCTGGCTGAAACCAATAAGCGAACAGGCTGATTATTTTATTATTAATTGTTATTAAACCTAGACTAGGAACAGCCAAAAAGACATTGGTAGGGAAAAAAAAGAGAAAAAAGTAAAGAAACTCCCCAGAGAAGAACATAGAACGGGCTACCACTATGTGCGTCCAATTGATTTTAGCAGGCCAACATCTCAGCAGCCCATGTACAAAACAAAACAAAAGAGAGACACACCGGCTTCTAAAACTGGTAGCCCAGAAACCTTCCGCAACAGCCCGTTCTGCTCGACGATTCTATCCGGAGGAAACAAAACAAAAATAATAGAGGAAATTATTTCCTGGTCTAAAAAAATGCTGTTTAGTTTTTTTATTTTTTTCTCAAATTATTTTGACCCTAAAATGAATTCCTTTTGGTTTCATAGACCTTCCGTTAGTTTGATGGGCTAGCGGCGTTAAGTTATATGCAAATTACTCTTTTACCCCCGGCGTAGAAAGTAACAGTTCAACGACCTACAGGTGTGCTATATAGGATTTTTAGGCCGCCTACTATCAATAATTTCCTAAAATAAGGTATGATATTTTTTTAAACATAGAATCATTATTTTTATAATATATTTGCATGTGACAACATCACACTGACTATTTTAAATGCATATAGAATCCACAATTGCAATCCAAGTGCACACATACGCAATAAGAATGATTCCATGCTTAAAAAAATATTGTACCTTATTTTAGGAATTTATTGATAGTAGGCAGCCTAAAAGACATGTATATAGCACATGTAGGTTGCTGAACTATTGCTTTCTACGCCGGGGTAAAAGAGTAATTTCGCGTACAACTTAACACCGTTAGCCCATCAAACTAACGGAAGTGCTAAGAAACCAAAGGAAATTTATTTTAGGGCCAAATAGTTCGAGAAAAAAGGCCAAGAAACACCATTAGCTTATAGTATACCGGAGGGTTTGAGCGTCCATGTAAAACTTATTGACCCCAAGAACATTGCTAAGACGTGTTGTAACGAACTCTTTCTCTACCTTAATACAGAGATGCACAAACATTTTGGGTGATCGAGAAAAAAGGGTAAAAAAAACTAAACAGCACTTTTTTTATATAGCCATGGTTTTCTCAAAATAATATCTCCAGGAAGACCAGTGGCCCAGGAGATATGGCAGACGTGCGGCTGAGAGCCTGAGCGCACTAATGTTCATTTGGTAGGGCCCACGCACTAATGTTCATTTGGCAGGGGCCCAGCGAGAGCTATGGCCCGGGCCCACCCGTCCTCGTCTCGCCCCCTCGTTTTGGATTGGACTACCTGATCCCTATACTCTCTTGTCGGCGGTTCCGATCGCCGTGATGTCGAGAGGAGATTCCCACGGCGCTGGGATGCGAGGATAAGCAGCGGCCACCGCGCAGCGTTCTCTCCCCGGCAACGGGCAGCCACCTTAATTTCCTTGGTTGGAGTTTTTTTTCCCCCCTATTTTGGAACTCGGCTGGGGTACTGTGGTCTACTGGTCTTTATCGGTGGATGAATGCGATGTTGCTAGGCAGAAGGGTCCTACTAGTCCAATCTCAATGAAAATCCTTCGTGGGATGAAGAATGATAAGAACAAGGAGGATGAATGTGATGTTGCTAGGCGGAAGGGTCATAGTCCACTCCAATCGATGAAAAATCATCGTGGGATGATAAGAACAACTAGACGAGGAACAACGGCAGGTAAATACTGATTATCACAGCTCGGTGAATCCTGGTAAAATTGTTTTTCCATTTGAATTTCTGTGGCACTCGTCGGCGCGCTTGTGCCTACAAGGTACTCCGTCAACATTAAGCACACCTTAAGATAGTCCCTCTGAAATACGAGGTATACAGGCATTTAAAATTTATTCTAAATAAATTATAAGAAATTAGTAGTAACCAATCCATCCTAAATTGTAAGACATTTGACTTTTTTGACATCAAGTTTGACCACTCGTCTTATTCAAAAATTTGTGTAAAATATCACTTCTTTCATCGTGGTTTGGTTTATTAATAAAAAATTCTTCAAGAATGACTTAAATTTGACTATATTTGCATAATTTTTTTGAATAAGACAAGTGGTCAAACTTGGGGCAAAAAAATCAAACGTCTTATAATTTGGGATGGAGGGAGTACATGTGAAGTAACCATTATTCAGTTCAAAATATAGTATTCACACATGTATACCATTAATGTCTATCAATCATCTAAATATAGTAATCACAATCTATTTTAATGATCAAGGAAATGTTGCATTTGCATACGACATTTGCTTTACCTCTCATAAGATGTTTTAGAATTCTTATTAGAATATGTTTATTTCAGGATAGGAAAGATGGAGTAAAATTTAAGATCACCAGTTTGAAAGACAATTGTTTGTAAAGTTTTCTCCTAGCTATCAGACGCTTATGTAATAGGATGTTGCTAGGTGAAATGGTCCACTCTGATATGAAAACATGACAATAACATTCAGTGCCAATGAGCATGATAGATAAATACAGGTTACCGCACAGCGCTGTCTCCCCAGCAATATATGGCACCCACCTTAATTTCCTTGGCTGGAGATTTTTTTTTTTTTTTTTTGAACTCGCCTGGGGTAACCGTGGTCTACTAGTCTTTGTCGGAGGATGAATGCAATGTTGCTAGGCGGAAGGGTCCTAGCCCAATCAATGAAAATCCTTCGTGGGATGATAAGAACAAGACGAGGGACAACGGCAGGTAAACATTGATTATCACACCTCTGTAAATCCTGATAAAATTGTTTCCATTTGAATTTCTGTGGCACTCGTCAGCGTTAAGATAGTACACCTTAAGATAGTACAAGGTATACAAGCATTTAAAATTTATTCTAAATTATAGTAAGAAATTACATGTGAAGTAACCACTAACTCAGTTTAAAAATAGTGTATACCATTATTTTCTATCAATCATCTGAATATAGTAATCATGCCAACCTGCGCAGCGGGCGCTCCCGGTCGTGCTAGTACTAATACGTACTAGTCCATCATGCGCGTCCTTGCGCGCCTAGTATATTAGAATGATTATCATGTATAGATATAGAATTTTTGTTGGCAAAGAATTTGTTTCTCTTTATGAAACATACACATGTACAAAAACTACAGAGACAGCCAAAGCAAACTGCTTTGATAAGAGTAGATAGCATAGAATGAAAGAGTGATAGGTGAGTAGACCCTGTCTCATATGATAGTAGAGGGTACGTAGTTTCCTACGAGGATGAATCAGGTTGTGAGGTTGTCTTCACATAGGTACAGGTATGGTAACCTAAGCACTGAATTTACAACGTAAATTTTAGAACAGTGTCTTGACACCTAACACAACTGGAAACAGGGACTTTGCCGAGTGTCTACGCACTCGGCAAAGGCTTAAAAACACTCGGCAAAGGCTTTGCCGAGCGCTGCACTCGGCATAGGCCACTCGAAGAAAAAAAGTCGGCAAAGCCTTCTTTGCCGAGTGTCATTTGTCGAGCACTCGGCAAAGCCTTTGCCGAGTGTTGACCAAACACTCGGCAAAGAAAAGTGGCCGTTAACCATGACGGTTGCTTTGCCGAGTGTCTCAAGGACGACACTCGGCAAAGAATTTATATAATTTTTTTCTCGAAATTGTTTGCCGAGTGTCGGCTCTCGGCAAAGAATTTTTATTTTTTTTAAAAAAGTCTCTTTGCCGAGTGCCGTGGCCTGACACTCGGCAAAGCCTTCCCCTTTGCCGAGTGCCGTGGCCTGACACTCGGCAAATCCTCCCACTTTGCCGAGTGCCCTGGCCTGACACTCGGCAAAGAGCCCAGCTTTGCCTAGTGTCCTTGCAATTACACTCGGCAAAGCTGGGAAATCTGGTGTTTTCCTCCAGTTTTTGCCAGCTTTGCCGAGTGCAGTGACCATTGCACTCGGCAAAGAGGCCTTTGCCGAGTGTGACACTCAGCAAAGCGTCTATAATTGCCTATTTTTTTCTTGTTTTTACATTCCAACACTTCCATCACACATTCAAACAGAAAATTTCACAGATATTCATCACATTCTTCAAATCCATGACATTCATCACTTACATATCACAAACACCATTTAGAAGTCACAAACATAAGTATCTGAATATATCACATCGAAATTCACAAGTTCAAAAGTTGTTCATCATCTAACATCCAGTTTATTACCATAATTCCATGAACATGGACAAGTTCAAACTCATTACCAAATACGCCTTTGATCGGGCGGTGACCGATACGGATCCTAAGGATTAGGCGGATTATTGGAACCCGCCGACTGAGGCGCCGACTGAGGCTGCACAAAGGAGTATAT